AAAAAAGCGCAAAGCATCCTGCTGGGAGAGCTTGTTCGGCGGCTTCCCAGCAGTCTTGTGAAACAGAGAATGCATTTCGGAGGTTTTGCCTCTCTGCTTGTAAGATCGATAAAGTGCAAAAAGCACTCAGCCGGAAGAGTTTGCTCAACAGAGAACCTCCAGACAGGCTCGTAGTCAGTGAGCCTGAAGCAGGTGGCGCAGCGTGATGGAGCCTCTCCTTGACAAGGTGAAAGAAGATCTCGCTTGCTAGTCCAAAAGATTTTGCGCGCAGTTTGCGCGCACCTTTGAACCTTCTTAAGAGCCAGATGTGAGCCTTCCAGTTCTGGCCAGAGCTCAGGTAGAGGCCGAACTTCGCAGCATCGGATGCCACACCGACACTGCGCCCCCAGAGGTGGATTGGGAGAGGGAATACGCTAGTCTTCTGCAGGAACTCGCTAATCCCATGGAGCCAACCAGAGACCGCCACTCATCGCACCACGGCAACTTCTCAGTGGCGGGAATTGATACTGTCTCTCTCCCACCGGGCCGCCACCTCGCGGTGCGTTTGGACGCCAGCTTCCCTAGCCCACAACTCTGCCCCCGAGGGTTATCGGGGCGCGTCAGGTGGGAGCGGGGTCGTGTCCTTCTGCAAACCCCCCAGTTCTCGCCGAGCAGTTCACGCACCCTGCCACATATTCCGGCAGACTACGCATTTTTATTCCATTAGGATGCTTGCAGGAGGCGCCTAAGCAGGCGAGTGCTGTGGTCTGGACTGCTCTGATCGGTTGGGCCGGCCCGCTCTCACTTCGGCTCAGGCTGACCTGTGCAGAAACCGCGCTGCGAGGCCAAGGCAAAGCTGACAAAGACATTGTCGATGCCGCCAGTCTGATGGCGACATACGTCGCCAACTCCTTTCTGCCAAGCCATTCCAGATTTGGAATTCCACGCCGCGCAGCTGCGCGAAGTTCAGCGTGATTAGCGGGCGGTGTTCCGCCAGCAGAGACCCGTATCTTTCCGATGGGCGGAGCCCTGCACCGGCCACCCGCTTATCCAGACTTTTCTTTCTAGCAAAAAGCCTTCCTGCTGGCTGATCGAGACCTGTGGCGCCCAGAGCGTCGGCTGCGCCCACGGCTCTT